ATGAAAAGTAGTTCAGAAATTTCTCAAAACTTGGCGGGCAATTCTCGCATATCAAATATCAAAAATAAAAATACAATTTACATCATCCTAAATGGGATAAGACAAATATATTCTGGATTTCTTTTACTGGTGAAGATTTTCATGCAAATTTGTGGATACATAAATTGGGGAGAGTCGTTCAACTTGCATACCTCTGATAAATTAGTGGTAACACGTATCTCAGATGGAAAACATTATCTTAAAAGATCAATATCGCTGAAGCTTCCACCAAATGAATGTTTAGAGTCTTCCTTTCATTTTAGGCTAATTTCAAAATGTCTAATCCTGGGGTCTAGCACAAAAAAAAATCCCTGTATTTACGTGTGCACGAACAACGAGGCTAACTCAGAGAGTGAGGGACTTTTGCTCAGTTGAATGGAGAAATTTATAAAACCGTACACTCCCGATTATAAGTTTAAGGACACCCCCAAAAAACATGCAAATGTGTTATGTTCATATCTTTGTCATTTTACGTCCAATTTTCGTTTTTTAGAACATATGAAAGATTTTGAATGGAAATACGAAGAAGCAAATTAATATAATATCAAATTTTGTTTCCCAAAGGTTCACCAAAAGTTACACTATTTTTCAAAATTTACTCTGGAGAATCATGATTGATTTGCTCAGAATATTTGAAATTAAAAGTAGTAGTAGAACCATAGAGGTAACTCTAACACTAGAAGGTCCCGAAATAACGTGCTCAACTTTTTGGCTCAGCTCTGGTACTCTCTTCGGTCCCAAGCTAATCGATTCACCCCTCAAAAATCCACTAATCCCTCATTTTATCTGTCAAATTTTCATAGCGAATTTGATCTATTGTAGTATACCCCGTGTCCTTAGTTTAGTGCATGTCGTATAACTCCATCACTATTGAGAAACGATGAAGTATTCGATTTTTTTACAGTTGTCATTCTCGCATTTATCGCAAGGATCCGACTCTAATTGAAAGGTTCCGCTATTTATACCCTTCGGAGTGTTGAAACACCCTCCAAAGGCGCGCCCCTTTGTCAGTCAAAATTGGATTCGTTAGCAACAAAATTAAAGAATGACACCAATAATGACCATGCATCAGAACCCTAGCCTTAACCACTTCAAACTAGGAAACAACGGATAGAAATTGGGAATCACATAGGTGAAGACTAACTAACTCATTTTCCTTGTTTCTAGATCATCCTCGGTGGAAAAAGCCAAGTATTGTCACTATCAACAAGGCATAAAAAGTAACAAGGACTAAGATGTGTTCCTTTGATTATTGAAAAATTCTATTACCCTAGTTTGAAGTAGTCAAGACTAGAAATCGGTGGTAGATATTACATCCCGTAACGTACCACGAAAAGGTGATCTACCTACGTTACGGGGCGGGAGTGTAGGTTACTCAGCGCTGAGTGAACTACGATTTTGGAAATTTCTCCAGACACCTTAATTTTATACATTTTACATTACAATACACATTTTAGACGAACTGAGTAGATTGTTCTCGTTTAGATTTAGGATAAGGTGTATGTAACCATAAATTCGACGTCACACTCCTAGCAGCGTAGGAATACCGGTATAATGAAAGAGATGATAGTTTCATATTATCTGGCCTTTTCTTTATGACTTTGGATGTACCTACACATTTAGATTTTTTGCCGAGATGGGCACCACCGAGCAGCTCGGTATTTTATTCTGCTGATTCTCAACGAAGACATCAACTTTCTAGCTGATTAAGATCTCGAGCTGAATATGCGAGAAAGGCACGTATATACTAGCGCCGCATATTGAGAAAATTCTGAACTTTTGTCACCCAACAAAAAGATCTTGCCCAACTAACATTTTCAGCTTTGTAAGCCAACTTTTCCAACGTTGTGCTGTAAAGTAGCTGAAAAGAAGCTGCAGATACAGCTACAAGTAAAAGCTAGCAAAATAGTTTTGGAGAGCGTTTACTCAACTTTCTCACAACCATTATTCAATTTGTCAGTCGCACTGAATAACATCAGCCAATAAACGCTAATGTCACTTCTATACACACACTACCCAACTTTCAACTTGTAGCTGCAAAACAAAACTAACAAAGTGAATATATTACTCATTTGATGGCTTCTACACAACCAACCACTCTTGCTGAATAACATAAACATCAAAAGTGCTTTTTCAACAACTAAAAAACCTGTACTCAGCTTATAAACTGTGTTAGAGCAACTTCGGAAGCATTTTCACAGTCAACTAGATTTATTTTTAGACGTGTGCAGTTTTACAGCTTTTACTCTGCTCTTTTATAACTAGTCGAGAAAAGTGATTCATGTGCACTATTATAAAGCCTCTACTCAGCGATTTTGTTGTAGGAGGGAATGTTGATTTGTTTACATAAGTTCAAAGTGTTGGCGTAGTACAGTTGGTAGTGTCAAGGATTGCCAATGAGGTCGTCTCGAGTTCGATTCCAGGTTCCGGTGAATAATTTGTTGATGATTTGTAACTAATTTCGATTAATTTGATTCACAGCAAAATAAAATCAATAAATTCCTTCATATAAAAAAGCGTAAACAGTATTTACCCTGGCTTCAAGAGAAAGCTGTGTAGTGATTATTGGATAACCGGGGTTGAATAAGTGCCTTTCAAGTTCACATACAACTAAACAGCAGGATAACAGCTGTATAGAAGCGTTAATGGATATGCAATAAGAGCTTCTCCCGACCGTTCCAACAGCCATAAGTAGCTGACTAAGTTCGCCAAATTTGCTTGTATAGAGGTTGAGTAAAGGTTTCCTCATATCGTATAACGTTTGAATACAGCTTGAGACTGTATAAATGAAATGAGTAAAGCGTTTACATTGCGAAAATTGTTAGTTGGGTGACTTCCTGAAAAACTATGCCGAATACATTTACTTTCTATCGGGATCTAGAGATAATTTATATGCGAGAATTTCACATGTATAGTAGCACCGCGAAGTGAGAAAACTCTGAACTACTGTTCACCTGCAAAAATGCCTTGATCTCCTGAACAACTATGCCGAAGACAGTATCTTTCTATCTGGTTGGGAACTCGAGATATTTTATATGAGAATTTCACGTGTATACTAGCGTCGTGTAGTGAGAAAATTCTGAACTATTGAGCACCAAGCAATAGGTTTTGGCCTCCTGAAAAACTTTGTGAAAGACAGTAACTTTCTATCTGGCCAGGATCTCGAGACATATCACATGCAAGAATTTCACATGTATGCTAGCGCTACGTAGTGAGAAAATTCTGAACTACTGTCCACCAGCGACAAGGCTATGATCTCCTGAACAACTTTGTCCAAGACAGTAGCTTTCTATTTGGTCAGGATCTCGATATTTTCCATGTTGTAATCAATTAAATCAAATCCCACATAGTATGGTCACAGTTTACGCGGTTTCCATTTACATTTTCCCTATTATCCGCATTTTTTAGGTGTTTACTGTAATCAAAGTTTAGCTTGTTTAGATCAAAACAAGTTTTTTGAGGAATACTCGTTGGTTTCAGATCGATTGGTAACTCAGCAACAAAATGGCAATGGTAAACTCATATGTGTGTTTTACAAAGTACGACAGCGCGAGTAACGGAGGGTTAAGGCCCACGCACATTAGATCCGGATCGGACGCGTTGCGGCAAAGTGACAGCTAAATCTATTGTCTAACTGTCAAATTTAGGTCAACGCAACGCAAACGGAACTAATGTGGGTGGCCCTTTAGTATTGTTTTAATTTCTTTGCATAGCCTTTTGAAAATATCACAAAGATGATGCACCAGGCGTGATCACGAAACTGACAGTAAACATAAACACATACTAAAACAAGGGGCACACACTTCCTGGTATGAGTGCGTGACATTTAAAACTCGTCGTAGTAATTTCAATACTTTGAAGACCGTATTCATTTGAATTTGAATACTTTTAGCGGTATTGAAACTAATCAACAAATAACTAACGATAATTAATGTAATGAAAAATAATTTAAATGTATTGAACATAATAACAAAACAAATTTTACCGCTAATTAAAGTATTTAATAAAATTAAAAGTGTATTTAAAGTAATGAATGCAGTAATGACATGATTTTAAATATTTAGTCAGCGGGCTGCGTAGTATTGAAAGGCTAGTGCGTGCTCTTGCCCTAAAACTTATTAGGGCAAACAGATAGATAATTCTGACTCATCCAAGATTACGATGAACTTAAGGTGATTACTTGTAGAGTCCACAAATGGCCACCACGTAGGCTATACATGCACTTCCACTACGAATTTTCAAGTACACAAATCTCGGAAATCAGTGCCCCATTTCATTTGAAATTGCTACTTCATATATGCTGCAGTGCAGCAAACGTGGAGTAACAATTTAAATGTTGCACGTGTCGTAGAAGCTTATATTTGTGCACTTAAAGTTTCGAAGTGGTTACGAGAATAAGGTTGTCACAGCGAATCGCCTTAAACTAACTTTTGTAGAAGAAAAACCCGAACTACATGGAGTGTTGAAAACCATAAACAATATAAAATTAAAAGAAGGGATTACTAGCGGAATATTATTTTAAAGCAAAAATATGGAGGAGTATTTCCATTTAATTCCACTACAATATATGCATATTGACATATACGCATTTTGCCATTTTGCTTCATCAGTGCTGAAACTCACTAAAAATAAAAACAAAACTAAACAAACTTTATTCTAGGTAAACTTATCAAGATGCAGGTACTCTAGTTTACAAAAAATTAGCGAAACTTTCACTTTGCAGATCTTGACTTGTTCACAAAGTAGGTAGGTATTCAAATAACTGATAATTCTATAACTCTTTTGTAAAAATCATCCCAAAAGCTTGGAAGCCATCATAATATAGCATAATTTACATAAACAACATAATCTAATGAGAGCAGCGATAACACTTATTTCCGATAGACTTTTTGAACTTGATTTTGCCTCATGGAGACGCCCAGGTATCTCGACTTCGGATTTCGCTCGCCACAAACACTTACTTACAAATTGTTAAATTTTTCCGTAGATGCTGGGACAATTGATATGACGGTTAATCCAGACTTAACGTTGCGTTTTGTTTCACTAACTGTCACTCATTGAACTTTTCACTAATATTTTATCTTACGCTCACTACACATCAGATGCTAGTAAACATTTTCACTAAAAATATTAAATTCCCTGTTGTGTTGCAGTTCATGATGTCCCTTAAAAATATTCTTGGTCAAAGAAGTCAGTGCATTTTAACTGTTCACTACATCCACACTGTCACCTAGATTGACAACGACGAGGTTCGTGTCCTACTCCCGATGTTCCCGATCCAACGCGAGCGAGTTTAAAATTATAACTAAGCAATTGGGTGACTCCGCGAGGGTTTAAATAGATTCTCGTTGCGCGTCTCGGTGAGGATTGCGTTCAAGATTGCTTGCTGATGATGCTGAGGTTGATGCGACGCGTCCTTGATCCTCATTGTTGTTCCTGTGCTGCTTCTGCTGCCGTCCTGCTGATGATGGCTCAAAGAAGCTGCCTCCACTTTTCCTTTCCCCGTCCCGACTCTTTTGGGTGGTTGGCAAACTAGGAACATTCTTTTCGTTACCCTGTTGGCGTGTTCTTTCGCTAGTCAGCAGCAGTGAGGATAATGAGAAGGATAAGTGGGGAAAAGTATGGCCATCCACAAATAGATATACATAGAGTATCAATGCACACATCAATGGGGAAAAACGGACCCACCGATAGACCACGTGGCGAAGGTAGAGCAGCAAGCGGTGATGATGATGACGACGATGATGATGATGAAAAGAGAGGGATCCGCAGTGTAACAAAAGCTTCCTTCTCGTTGGTAAACACAGCGGGAAGGAGGAAGTAGTCAAATGTTGGGAAGGACTTGAAGCGAATTGATGCAGGAAACGAACTGCCACTCGTAAATTTGATAATGATGAAATTTACCACGCTGCTGCCCGCAAAATGGTCAGAGACGGATTTGTTTTTGTGTGGAATAGAATGGGTTCTTTTGATTTGGGAAAATCGAAATTAGCGCCAGGAAGTGGGACAATAGACAGCTGATTCAGAAATTCCTTCGTAGAATTTATCAAAATTTAAAAATAGAACTTTTCTCTAGCTCTCTAGCTCTTATGATTTAAGAGGATCTTATGCCTACACAGCAAAAAATGAATTTTGATATCTGGATGCACTTCAATCAATGCTGTAATATTACTTGCCAAAACGGACAAAATTATCATTATTGCAATGCATAAGCTGAAATTACGCTGCTTTTACTGCATTTGTTTATTTTTGTGGCCATAAAAATTACACATGCAATTTCGACATGATTGAAGTGCATCCTCTTGGATGTAATATTAAAATTTATTTTTTTGCTGTGTACCACTTACTTAATACTGCGTCGGTCGCAATGTTCATCTCAGATGGAGTTCAGTTTTCTCCCATCGATCCATGAGCATTAGGGTGGGCCAAGTTTGTATGGTGAAGGAATCCAAAATATCTTCAAATGACAAGCGATCAACAAGCCGAATGATAAAGCTATGTCAGAAATGGAAAACAATAATGATATAATCTTCTTCCTTTTTCTTCATGACAAACAATGTCTGCAACAATGCTCGCTCGGGTCGGTAGAAGGAAACGACCAAATTTTTTGGCAAGCTGCTTCACGAAGTAAAGCCGAAGATGATACACGTGTGTTAATGGAAATTTTTTTTGTTATGTCTTTTCTTGATTGCGATCAAGCTATGTCCTCAACCGTATAGGGGAAATGTCTCTAATGTTGGCCTATGGATCTAAGATTGGGCCCATCGCTAAAAATCTGCTATTTATCAATTTTATCTAGATGAACGCGTTATTGCGACGTTACTAATGGATATTTTTGGTTGCTATTGAAAATTTAGTGGATTGCTGAATTTATGTATGGGCCCAAATTGGGGACACTTAGGCCGACATTACCTGCATTTCCCCCACATATATTGCAACAAAGCAGGCAAGCAATATATCATTATCCTTCTACCACTCCAATCGAGCTGTATTGTAGTGAGAGTTTGTCGTGGTTGTCGTAGCAAGCGACTTGTCTGTATCGTTGGTTGCTTTATGTGTTTGGATTCGCTGATGGTGAATGATCCCTACTGCTCTTTCGATCTGTATTGTGCTGCTGTTGCGACATGTGCTCCTTTTTATTTCGAGGCAAACAATGGTGTTGTGACGGGTGTTGTGACGGAATTTGAGGACACCTCCTGCAGAGATCTCGACTACTATTATCGCCTTTCTTTGAGTTTGCAAAGGCTCTGTCTCTCTTCCCATCTCCAATATGCAAATTTTATTCCCTTTGTATACCCGCTAATTGTTTCCCACTACTATGAGATATATAAGGCAGATAATTGAAATACAGATACAGTTGAATTTGATAACCTAAACATGTCTCGCGTACTTTATCTATCCGACCCGAAATCAGTAGTTCTCCCGGTGCTTTTTTCTTAGACCTCACAGAATCATATGGTCCTTCGAGCCGGATTTCACGAAAATTCACGTCGTGAACCGCGCAGTGTCGATCAGCTTGTGTCGCGTGTGTTGGCCTCGTCGCCCGCCAATTTATACGGCCATTAGTGGTACTGCCAATCCGTGACAAAGTGATCGAACTAACTCTTTGTGAGAAGAAAAGGCACCCTAGTCGACCTAGTGTATCCACGTGATTTCCAATAATGGAAAAACTTATCCGTGAGAGAAAATCACTTGATCCACGGATCAAGCGCGTGTTGGAAATGGTAGTAAAACTGGAGCCAGAAGCGACTGAAAAAACCGAGGTGCAAACCGAGCTTGAGGTACTCGGTGATATTTGGGCAGCCTATTGTTCAGTTTACAAAAGAATTTTGGACGCTAGTGAAGATGATGAAATGTATGAAGATGCTGTTCAGCAGCAGTGCCGTTTCGAAAAAACCTATATCGGTTTGAAAAATCGTCTTGCCAAAGTGTTGAAAGTGGTGCAAAGTCGCGATAGCAGCCAAGAAGAGCGACCTCCGTCGCAGAGTGATGTTATAAATCAACTTGCACAGCAGCAAGCAGAGCTACTCCGTATGATGTCGGGTAGAATGACTACTGGCGCGAGTACATCTATTGCTGCTCTCGATACTGCCCATGCCCCCATACCGCTGTCGGATCTCAAACTGCCACGCATGAACTTGCCTGTGTTTACTGGAAACTATCTCGATTGGCAATCGTTCATTGATCTATTCAGGATCGGGATACGTGGCTACTATTCACCCTCATCGATAAATTGGACTCTGAAACCAAGCAGCTTTGGTATCAAAAGGTTTCTGATGTGTCCGAAGATGACGTCACCCTAAAAGCTTTCCTCACGTTCATCAATTCACGCAGTTTTGCTTTGCAATCTGCACAGCCTATCAAACAACGAACCGTTGCTACCTACAAGCCTCCTTCGAAACCACAATATAAAGGAGCAACAGCATCCGTCGCCACCAATACATCTCCAAACTGCGACGTCTGTGCCAAATCGCCCCATCCACTCTATCTGTGTGGTAAGTTCATCCATATGAGCTCAGAGGAAAGACTCTCTGCGGTCAGCTCTCAAAACCTTTGCAGCAATTGCCTGAAGAAGCATGCAGGTGAAACATGCAGATCTGGAAACTGTCGGAAATGTGGCTCACTACACCACACCCTGCTGCACACTGCATTAGTGCCTCCAAACTATCAACAAGATCCATCAACATCGTATGCTGTTCACACTAGCAGCGTTCCGGCCACCCAATCTCTGATTTCGGCCCTCGATTCCACTGATAAGTTCGACGCATCCAATGTTCTGCTAGCCACCGTGTCCATTAATGTTTTAGATAAACACGGACGCCCGCACGCTTGCCGCGCTGTTCTGGATTTCGCTTCTCAAGTGAGTTTTATCAGCAAGAGTCTTTGCAACGAACTTGGTCTCGACTTGTTGGAAGCAGATATGGACCTTGAAGGCATCTCATCTACTCCCGCGCATGCAGACAAATGCGTGCAAATCATCGTAGCATCCCGATGCACGGACTATCGCACCACAGTCCCATGCATGCGGTGCTCGATAAAATCACAAAAACGCTTCCTGTCAAACCAGCGAACATCGACGATTGGCCCATCCCGGGTTCAATCACCCTGGCCGATCCACTATTCCACCGCCCCGGTAAGATCAACGTACTACTTGGTATCGAACTTTCCTTCCAGCTGCTCGAACCTGGAAAAATCTCCCTCAGTTCTGACGACCAACTTCCCACCTTGCAAAACACCAATTTAGGGTGGGTGGTTGCTGGTCGCTATCGAAGTAAAACGGTTTCATCACACACGATGGCTTCAACGTGTTTATTATATACCTCCGATGATAGCCTTAGCCAACAGTTGCGTCGTTTCTGGGAGTTGGATGAATATGCAACATCTGTACCCCATCTCAGCGAGGAGGAAAAACGTTGCGAAGATCACTTGCACAAGCCTACTGTTCGAGACGACAACGGGAAATACTTTGTGCGTTTGCCGTTTCGGCACTCTCCGAGTCTATTTGGTGATTCCAGACAAATGGCTGAAAAGCGTTTGAGTCACATCGAGCGAAAATTGCAACGAAACCCTCACCTCAAGCAAGAGTACCATGCCTTTCTTCGCGAGTACTGTGAAGCTGGACACATGACACTCACCGATTATCCAGCTCCGAGAGGTGCTATCTACCTGCCTCACCATTGTGTGGTAAAGGAATCTAGTTCCACCACGAAATGCCGCGTTGTGTTTGATGCCTCCGCGAAGACCACCAGTGGCATATCCCTTAATGATGTGCTCATGGCCGGCCCAGTGCTACAGGACTCAATAGTCAACATTTTTCTCCGGTTTCGCTTTCCGGTAGTTGTGTTCACTGGCAATATAAAACAAATGTACCGGATGATCAAACTCGCTGATAGCGATTTTCTGTGGATCCTTTGGCGATGGTCAAACGACGACCCCGTGTGTGAATATCGACTAAACACCGTTATAATGGGACAAAGAGCGCTTCATATTTGGCCACGAAATGCTTGCAGCAGCTGTTAGAGTCACACAGGCAGCAGTATCCGACGGCGGTTGGGAAGGCAGAGAAGGGCATCTACGTGGACGATGTTTTGGTGAGCGCTGACTTCGAAGAAGAAGCGATACTACTGCGACAGCAATTGACAACGATCTTCGCCTCAGGTGGCTTCCTCCTGCGGTAGTGGGCGTCAAACAGTGCTGCGGTTCTTGAGAATGTCCCAGCAGAAGACATAGAAATGCAATTACCAGTCGAACTCAACGATACCCGAACCATCAAGACCCTCGGCATCCACTGGCAGCCGTGCAGCGACGTGCTCCAGTTCTCAAACGCTACGAACAAGATCTTTCAGCCCACAAAGCGGACCATGCTTTCGCAAATCGCCAGCATCTTCGATCCAATTGGATTACTGGCTCCGATCGTCATCAAAGCGAAGATGGTTTTGTAACAGTTGTGGGAGCTGAAGGTGGACTGGGACGAAACACCCCCCGGTGAGTTAGTTCAAAATTGGTTGATATTTGTGCAAAGCCTTTCCGATCTCAACTCATTACAGGTACCCCGTCGAGTGATCGGCATGCGAAACGCATCTCGCATCTATCTGCACGGCTACAGTGATGCATCCGAGCGAGCCATGGGTGCGTGCGTCTACATTAGGGCTGCTGACGAATGCGGCAACACATCATCGCATTTGCTTTGTGCGAAATCCAAGACAGCACCTATCGGCAATGGACGAACAACGTTGCCTCGCTTGGAGCTGTGTGCGGCGGTGATTCTAGCTCGACTGATGGCGAACGTAATGGCAGCAATCTCATTGCCCTTCCACGAAATAAGGGCTCATTCGGATTCCACGGTAGCATTGGCATGGATCTACGGTGGTGCTTCGAGGTGGAAAACGTTTGTCGCCAACCGGGTGGCAGAGATCACAACTCTCTGCAATCAACTGGCAGCGCGTAGATACACATCACAACCCGGCCGATTTAATTTCACGTGGTGCTCTACCAGAACAAATAATCAACAATCCTCTCTGGTGGCATGGTCCAAGCTGGAGTGGGACAACCAACACTCAGGAAACTCTACCCATCTCAACACTCGATGTCACCGAGCAACGGTAAGTGGAAAGAGAACAACGGTCGGCTGCAGTGGCGTATCTAGCTGTTTATGAAAACCTCTTTCTCGATGGTATACTAACAAGGTACTATCGGAAGCTTCAACTTATTCTGTGCATCACGGCGCGTATGCTGCGCTTTCGTTACCGAGAGCTCAGGACAACAAATCGTCTAGCCCCCCAAGAAATCGATAACGCCATGCAAGTTTACGTACGACATGTCCAGAGTCAGCACTACTGGAAGGAGATCAACCAACTGGAAACCAACCGTGAAGTCAATAATAGCAGCTCGCTTCGTCAATTGAAACCGTTTCTGGATGGAAACCATCTCCTCAGGGTGGGCGGTAGGCTGCAGCTGTCGGATTTCAACTACGATACGAAGGATCCTATCTTGTTGCCTCGTCACTCAGCTCTCACCGCACTCATTCTCCACCACGAGCACCACGAGCAGCTTCACTGTGGTCCACAGTCATTACTGGCAGCTGTGCGACGACGTTTTTGGATTGTTCGCGGAACGACTGCTGCCCGGAAGATTTGCCGAGCTTGCGTCGAATGTGTTCGTGTGAGACCAGTACCACTACGTCAGCTGATGGGTCAGCTACCTGCAGATCACCTGGAACCAAATCCTCCTTTCTCCATCACCGGCATTGACTATGCCGGACCAATCAACATCATCAATCGACGAATGCGTGGCGCTGTATCTAGCAAGGGTTACATCGCACTGTTTATTTGTTTTTCGACCCGAGCCGTCCATATTGAAGCAGTGTCCGATCTCAGCACTTCTGCATTCATTGCTGCTTTCACCCGCTTTAGTAGCCGATATGGATTGCCGAGTAAAATCTACTCCGACAACGCTACTAACCTTCGGGGAGCAGCAAGAAAATACCGTGAATTACACCAACAAATCAACGCAACCGAACTGGACGACAAAGTATCAGACTTCTTCTCCGACAAGAGTATTGAGTGGATGTTCATTCCTGCTCGATCACCACACCACGGTGGACTTTGTGAGGCAGGCGTGAAGGTGGTGAAAGCATTCTTAGGCAGAGTCGGGGGTGATGCTCGTTTCACTTTTGAGGAATTGAGTACTGTTCTTGCACAAGTGGCGGCCTGCATGAACTCACGGCCGATTTCTCCACTCTCCGATGATCCCAACGACCCTCAACCTCTCACGCCGGCACATTTTCTCATCGGTCGACCACTAAATAATGTTCCCGAGATCAACCAGTTGGAACGCCGTATCGGATCACTGAACAGGTGGGAGTACGTTCAACGAGTCGCGCAACAGTTTCGAGCTCGGTGGCAGACCGAATATGTTTTAGCTCTTCAACATATGACAAAGTGGCAACGTCCAGAACCGAATGTTTCGGTTGGAGACTTTGTGTTGTTGGTCGCTGACAACGAAAAACCAACGATGGGCCGCATCGTCGATACTTTCCCTGGATCCGATGACTACGTTAGGGTGGTGGCTATTAGAACCCCAAATGGTATCGTGCGGCGTGATGTTCGACGAATCCGGCGGATCCCTTTGGAAGACGACGAGTACGTGACAGGACGGAATGAAGCTTAAAATTTCTTGGCGTAATTTGGTGGGCGGTTTATGTTGTGACGGAATTTGAGGACACCTCCTGCAGCGATCTCGGCTACTATTATCGCCTTTCTTTGAGTTTGCAAAGGCTCTGTCTCTCTTCCCATCTCCAATATGCAAATTGTATCCCCTTTGTATACCCGCTAATTGTTTCCCACTACTATGAGATATATAAGGCAGATAATTGAAATGCAGATACAGTTGAATTTGATAACCTAAACATGTCTCGCGTACTTTATCCATCCGAACCGAAATCAGTAGTTCTCCCGGTGCTTTTTTCTTAGACCTCACAGAATCAAATGGTATTTCGTTATTTTTATTTGGTATTCTCACAACATGTCCCACCCACTATGCTCTTGCAGCCTTGGTGACTTTCTGAATACAGAGGAATTTCAAGAGAATACTGTGAGCATTCCTAGGGAATTTTGAGGTGAAATTCAACGAGAGTTTGAATATGTTGTGTTTGAAAATCTCTCTATAAAGCAAACAAAAAAATGAATATGTTGTTTGAAGTATGATGTCAAGATAGTCATGATAGTTCTGACTACGATTCTGAGGAGTATTTGATGGTAGTAGTTTTGTGGAGAATTCGTAGGAGAGTATCAAAACAAATTTCATGGAGTATTCCTGCACACCAATTTTTAAATTTCAAATTCAGTAAAACGAATTGCTGAAACGAGATCAGCAAACCCATTTTTTCCACAGTGTTTAGGTGACAAGTGCACGACCTTAGGGATTTGGATTGTACAACTTTACCCAGTCGTCGAGTGATTTGATCAGCATCATCGCATCAATAGCCGTATCCAAGCATCAGCAAGCAGCAAACGAACTATCTAGCTGCACCGGCGCTAACTATAAAGTCTGGAACGCGCAAAAATTGGTCAACTTCAAATTGGTGTATTTCTGTTAAAAATGCATAAAACAAAACTTGAAATGCTGCATTTGGAAGTTGAGTGTATATATGGTTGCTATGATGAGTTTTCATTTGCTCTCTAGTTTTCGTTTGCTTTCTTGTTTTCAAAATGACGTCCAAGCAAGAGGAGCAGCGTGTCAAAATTTTGCTCGTGCAGCAAGAGAATCCGACGTTCTCACACGCCAAGTTGGCAAAATTGCTGGATGTGGCCAAATTGACCGTGACAAATGTTTTAAAAGTGTTCGGGGAGCGTCTGTCAACCGCCAGGAAGCCTGTAAGCGGTGGCAATCGTAATCCGGACGTGGCAGCGACGACGAAGAAGGTGGCGGTGAAATATAAGCGGAATCCTAACCTCTCCAGCCGGGACGTCGCTGGCAAGCTCAATGTCTCCCATACTACTGTGCAGTGGGCCAAGTAACGAGCCGGGTTATCAACGTTTAAGAAGATGAAGGTGGCGAACCGAGATTACAAACAAAACACTGTATACGAATCTGCTTAGAAAGTTCGACTGTGTCGTCAGGGACGACGAAACTTATGTGAAGGCGGATTTCAAGCAGCTTCCGGGACAGGAGTTTTATACCGCATCAGGAAAAGGGAAGTTGGCTGAAATTTTCAAACCCATCAAACTATCGAAGTTCCCGAAAAATATCTCGTCTGGCAGGCCATATGTACGTGTGGTCTAAAAAGCGGCATTTTCATTACTACGGGAACCATCAATCAAGAGATCTACGTCCAGCAGTGCCTGGAAAAGCGGCTGCTACCATTCCTAAAGCAACATAATAGACCTGTGCTGTTCTGGCCGGTCTTGGCGAGCTGCCACTATCGGAAGATGGCAATCGAGTGGTACGATGCGAACAACGTGGTTGTGTTACCCAAAGACCGCAATCCTCCCAACATCCCAGAACTCCGCCCTATCGATCGGTATTGGGCCTTGGTCAAACGGAATCTCAAAAAACTAATAAATCCATGGAAAACGAGCAGCAGTTTAAATCTAACTGGCGTTCGGCGGCGAAGGTCGATGTGACTGTGGGGTTCCACCTATCCGAAGAAAATCCTGATTTTCCCGAGGTATGGTTTGATGTCTGTTGTGGGAGTTCTCCGGAGAGCTTACCTATGCGTCAGTACGCGGTCGCGGTCCGAGGGCAAAGAGGTCGAGAGACGATTGCTGCGTGTTCTCGATGTCACCCGTCGCGTATGCTGAGGAGTGCGCAGGGTTATGTGCGTGATGGATAGTAGGCGGCTCGCATCTCTATGCGGAGGGTATTTGATACCGCACATTCCCCTCTTACATTAAAAAAGAAACATCACTCTGTTTGATTTGATGTAAATAAATGATATTCATAAAACTATCCATCTTTGCGTTCAGCGATTCACCCAACTTTGGGTACACTCAGTTTACCGTGTAGTTAACTCATATTTTGGGTTTTTTCAATCGTTAAACATTACTTATATAAGGTTTTGCACCGTCGGGGTTAACCTCAATCTGACGACAGTTCAGTGGCACTTTGTTCCTTGTCAATAACGGATATGAGCAAAACCGAATAGGGTTCGGAGAGTAGTCCTGGAAATCTTAATTTTCCCTTTCATGTTAGGGTAAAATACATCGAATTCATACCTGAATCCTTTGTCCAACCATGTGGAAGATGCTTGCGTGGATCTTGCTCTCCTGCATCGTATGCTTCAACTCTCGTAGCTGCATGCACGACATAGCTCGCGTCGTGTCCGTATTATCTACCAAATGGAAAAATGGAAGGCATTTTCACACTTTCCACACTCCTTAAAAAAAAATGCAATAAAACTAAGTATAGAGTGTCAACTTCCTCTACCGCTTTACTCCGGTGTTCTTCCAAATACATCAGGATCTACTTTCGATCAATGTTCCGGTGGTCTACCAGACGCACCATATTTAATTTCCGACCATTGTTCCGGTGGTCTTCCAGACGCACCTTACACTATTTCATGTCAATGGCCACAAACCATTTATAAGCATCATACCGGTGATCTTCTAGACGCACATTGGACCATTTCATGTAACAAAGCATTTGTAAGTAACATTCCGGTGGTCTTCTAGACGCACCTTGTACCATTGTAGGTCAAAAACCACTGACACCACTATTCTGGCGGTCATCTAGACACGCCACCGCATTTTTAGGTTATTTCGATACTCCGATGGTCTGCGAGGCACATCCATATTTCAGTCAAGAGAAAAAAAAATTAAAATCCGATAGTAGTTCTCCGGGTAGTAATCCTCCTGGCAGTATCACCAATGTGGGGTCTCCCCTATCCGGAGAAAAGCCTGATTGTCCCGAGGTATGGTTTGGTGTCTGTTGTAAGAGTTCTCCGGAGAGCTTACCTATGCGTCCGTACGCGGTCGTGGTCCGAGGGCAAAGAGGTCGAGAGACGATTGCTGCGTGTTCTCGTTGTCACCCGTCGCGTCTGCTGAGGAGTGCGCAGGGTTATATGCGTGATGGATAGTGAGTGGCTCGCATCTCTATGCGGAGGGTATTTGATACCGCACAGTGACCACTGTGCAAAATTAAATGGAAGGGGTTAAGCGGAAGGCACGGCAGTTCGGATTTGGCAAACCAAAAGAATAAACGAACATTTTTTCCTTTAAATATATGAATTGAACTACCGAAAGAAAAATAAGAAGATTTTTGTGATATGAATTTTGACAGAAAGAAACGATATTTTTGTCGACCAATTTTTGCATGTTTCAGCCTTTAGTATAACAGTTTGTTCGAGTTCATTGTTGAAATATTTTGCAAGTCGTTGCAAGTATAGTCGCTATATTTATAGTCTGGCGGATAGAATTTCGATCTACCAAAAAGCGGTACCAATTAAATATATTGTAGACCAACACCGCGCGGCTCTGTGAACTCATTTTACTTCTTGAAAGTGCTGAGATTTGAGATTTTGGTCAATTTTTTTTTCACATAGTCACTGGACGTAAATGCTTGTTGATGGGCTCCATGTAATTGTTTTACTCAAGTCATTTAATTTCGTTACACATTTAGTTGATAAACAAAATCTACACATGTTCGTCACTGACAGCATTGTCACTGACAATTGACATGGTTTGCCTTGACGATGACTGTTAGCTCAAATGAGTGACCAAAGTAGAATTGTGAATTTCACCGTGTATTGTCGAGATTTTGCAGCACTGCTTATTGTATCTCAGTTTACCTCAAACCACTTGCATTCGATTTTCCCAAGATTTTTACCACAGAAAAAAAATTCCCGTCCTCTATTATGTTTTAAGCTCAGTCTACTATTACGGTGTAGGCAGTCGTTATAGTCTTAATTTAACACAATCATTATGAAGGGAAATATTAAACATCCCGAAGCTTCCACTCTGTAACCTGTACCTTTTGGCATCGGTTGTATTACTCAAGGACCCATAGCGTAGTATATTCAAGTCAAGCTATAGTCACAGACAACCAGACGTAACGCATTAAATATTTTTCACAGTACAACATCTACCACCGCCATCTGTTGAGCATACTGTCACGAGCAGTACGCTCAACAGATGGCGGTAGTGTGAAACGTCTAACGCAAGGGAATTGACTATGCGCGCCACAGGTGGCGGTACTACCAACTAAGAAAACATTAAATTGCCAAATCCTGATGAATGAGGGCGTCTACACGAAACGAAAATCAATTATTTAATTCATGTGTTTCACTTATACATTTTTGCCAAAGTATCAGCCTTATACATTCCATAAAACCAACCACATAGGTCCTATTAGAATGCATAAAAGGTATGTGTGACCGCTTATACATTTCATTTGACACATGATCTTTATTAACTTTTTGCAAGGCGTCTGCTTATTAGTTGACTTATACATTTTATGAATAATCAGCAATGGAAATTTGCCAAAAGGTATAAGGAGATTTGTATCCGTGTATAGTGGAATACCTGGTATCAAAAAAGACAGCAGAACTTAATTGATTATCCTTTTTCAGATACGCGTATTTTGTTTACAATGTTCAGACTTCTTCAGTGTCTTGTGCTAATACTTTAAAAGTGTCTAATACCTGTTCGCTAAAAAAAAATGCATGTGTTATGTTTGTTTGTCTGTGCTGGCGTAGAAGCATCCACTTATCATTGAACGTTGAGATGATGCTCCTAACAAGCCAGAGAAAAAAGTGTAAAATCCCGTCGTACACACAGCGGTCGTTTGTACTTACATAAAATCCTTCTTATCCCAAACCGGAGATTGCTTGTCCATGTGTCTGACCGTTTTTTTGTGGTTGTGTGTGTGTGTGTGTGCATGGGACGCATACAATTCTTAATTATCGACATTGTGTGATATCCTTACCCGTGTGATTCGCGATCCAGTCCGTCATTATTTTTACCTTTATGTCGAAGGAAACACCCTCACTAGGACGCACGTTTGAGCAGTTCTTGAGGCATCGTCGGTGGCGGCCGTTGCGGAGCAGCCAAATTAGAAGAGGTTTTAAAAATAAATCAGGATAAGGGGTGGTACGTGTGGTTTCGATTGATTTGGGATGTTGATATTGAATTGGGAAATGCTATAAGCTTCATACCACTACATACAGGACGTGTTCAATGAATCAACATATTTTTTATGAATGTCATACCTAAAACCGAATCGGATTTTCCCAAATAAGATTACAATTGGTTACAAGATTACATTCGGATTTAGTGTCCTTACCGTGGATGTGTATTATTTTAATTACCGGGTTAGGCCTGACTTGACAAGTGTCCGCTTTCTCACGCTCGAAAAAGAAAACCTAAAGCGCAGTTTCACACTTCATTAGTGCATTGGTCCTTGTTCAAGACACATCGCAGGAGATAGTCATCAAGTTGAAATTGATTGAATAATTCAAGTTTTTTGTTTGTTTTGCTAATCGCTTTTTGATTGACAATGACCAAACTGAATGCCATAAATTCCCCATGCAACCTGAGTGAACATTTCACTCGTGCCATTGCAGCTTTCAACCGAAGAAAGATGAACGATTTGGTAAAGTTTGAATCTTTCATTCGGGTGCCGGAGATCTTCTTCGACATGATCGGCATCACGCGGTACGGTGAACCTCGGGATACGTGGAAGGCTCGTCTCAAGCAGGCGTTCTTCTGGAGCTCGTACGCTAATACGATTTTTTGCCTCATCATCGAACATATCTATTTCATAAAAGCAGCTGGGAATTTCACCAACTTCCTGGAACTGACAGCCCTGGCTCCGTGTATTGGATTTACGGCGCTCTCAATCGTCAAGATCATGACCATCAAGGCGAACGAAGCAAAACTAAACGGCATACTGGATCGGCTGAATGAGCTCTTTCCAAGGAGCCATGTCGACCAGGAACGCTACCGGACCTATCAGTACAACCTCGAATCGCAAGTGGTGATGAAATCGTTCTCCATATTGTACATGATCTTGATTTGGATCTTCAATCTACTGCCATTGGTTTCGATGCTGGTGAACTACCTGGCCAATGGAGTGCTGGAAAAGGAACTGCCGTACTTTATGTGGTACTGGTACGATTGGCACCGGGAAGGCTACTACGAGATAACGTTCTTTCACCAGAACTGGGGAGCATTCGACTCGGCAGTGTACAACCTCAGCACGGATCTGTTGTTCTGTGCGATCATCTTGCTGATTTGCTTGCAGTTTGACATACTGGCCTACCGACTGAGGAATGCCGAAGGCGATTATGGGGAGCTGGAACTGTGCGTGAAATTGCACCAAGCAGTAATTGAGCTGTGCAATCAGTTGGAGGGAATTTTCTCACCTTCGATTTTGGTAAATTTTGTCGGAAGTTCGGTCATCATTTGCCTGGTTGGTTTCCAGGCGACATCCGATATCAGTTCGTTCGATTTGTTCAAATTTATACTGTTTCTGATTTCGTCGCTGGTTCAAGTGTTTCTGCTGTGCTATTACGGGAACAAACTGATTGAAGCGGTATTATGAAATTGTGCCACTGTCTAAATAGGATCATTGATTAGCATTCTAAATTTCCAGAGTTCTCAAATCGCCTATTGCGCTTTCGAAGGAAACTGGAACACGGCAGATGTACGGTACCAGAAATCGCTTCTGTTTGTCATGACTCGCGCCGGGAAGTGGCAAAAACTGACGGCCATGAAGTTCTCCGTCGTTTCGTTGGCGAGTTATTCGGCGGTGAGTTTGAAAGGAGAACAGGCGGTTGGGATCGGGTTTCAAGTGGACATTTTTGTTTTGTCGTTCCAGATCCTGAGTACATCGTTTTCATATTTTACGCTGTTGAAAACTATTTACGATCCCAGTCAGAAGTGAATCAGTGATGAGGGCAGTTTAAACATATACAATTTACATCACTCTGGAATACTGTATCGTAGTCCCATATGGATTTTCGTAAATATATATAGATAACAACTATCAATTGGCATCTACTTTCATATTATCTGATCGGCTTTGTTTATGAAAAATGTTAAAACAACATCAAGTCAGTTTGTCTTATCAATCAAAATAATCTCATATCAGTCCCATCCTGAAATTCAATCGTTCATAATACAAGTTAAAGTTCTACATTTCGAATCGCCATATTTTTCGCTGTATTTAAAAAAAATGCAGGCTTCATTGCAACTGATTTACACTTGAAAAATATCACCAAATTAACTTTGATTTTTTAAATATTTACATGGAAATTGCACTTTGTAACTTCGACGGCCATTTTCTCAATGCCTACTTTTTCCATATGGGACTGATATAGGGATATATGCAGTGAACGTGTGTGATATAAGTGTCGTTTGCAGGGATGTCAGAAGGATATATCAAGAGCAAATTTTCATTATGTCGTAAGTAACGTTCGCACCAATCCGAGAAAAATAAAGTTTTGTTTTGATGACCGAAAAGTTATTCCTATTTCCAAGTAAACACATATAATCTCATAGTGATAGCAATGTTTAACATATTTAGCAGGGTTTTAATCATACAAATGCAAATCGCTAGCTTTCATGCTAAAAAATACTGGTTTTTGAGTCAAAAGTTATTATACGTCGTTTGGTGGCCCCTGTTGTTACTTAAGTCAAAGTGTATTTACCAGGATATTCGGGAGAATTATCAATTACGTCTCCTTACGTGCAGCCCATTCATCATTTTAGGACCACCGAAATCATCTTAGCAACAAACAGTTCGATTTATTCACTTTAATAATAAGAAAGCGAAACGACGAACGTACACTTTTCACGGGTTTCTCAGCACTGTTACTTAAGTCAAACGGCATCTCCATAGAAATTGGGTGACTTAAGTAACATCGAAAACTATTTTGATCGGAAGGTGATTACGTCAAAAAGCAATTTGACTAGTAAATAAATTTAAAAATGGGATTTGATCCTATATTCGGACAGTATATAGTGTAATAGCAGGAGAATCGATTGACACTGATAGCTCGACTTTGTTTACCTTTGTTACATTCGACGTAATGAAAATTTGCTCTTGATATGTATTTAAGTTCTAAAAAATCTTTTAATCTATTTTTTTTCCAGAAAATCTGTGATGTAAATCCCATAAAAATATTCTTGTCATAGTGATTTTTGAGACATAAAACTGAAAAAATAGCATTTCTCGCGTAACATTTAATAGGCCTTTTCACATGTTTCGCGAGATTTATATTAAATTACCAGTGATAAGCCAACAAATGGTTCTGAAAGGTGTCATTCTACTTTTTATAACACGAATAAAATATGTAGATAAAGGGTGATACATTTATAATGCCATGCATCATAGAGGGAGGATTCTGTGAGAAGCAATGGATGGAGTTTAAGCTGGTATTTTATTTTCCCAATTCCTAGCTGTCTGATTTTTGGTAGTAAGAATACTAACCGCAAATGGTATCTTTAATACAAAAAAAAAAAAACACAGGTGTCAAGGAATCCATAAAAAAAATGCCACACACAACCGGGGGATGTAAGATTTGGTTAAATAGATTCATCATCGCAGGATGTTAGTGGAGACCGCATGAACGGAGGATGAGATATACCAAGCTGCGGTCCAATACAAGAAAACGGAGTCCGTGGATAGTGGATTTATTAATATTTTATTTTATTTAAGCATATTATTTTTGTTACAGTCAATTAGCATTAGCATACAATAAAAGAGATTTAATATTACTTGCTCGTTTTTGCGTAAAAAAATCAAAATTTATTTTACTTGTAATAACCTTTGAAAGTTTTTTTCATGTTTTTTTTTGTGATCTGAAAATTTTTCCAGTTTGGTTAGAAGTTTCGAAGCTAACGCATGTCCACAGGCTTAATAGAAAGATAGGCAGAAAAAGTTTATCATGAAGAATGGTTGCATGTAGGGTTGCTTCCACTCACTTGCTATAGATGCGTGATTTTCGGAGTTTTGAATGCGTTAGATGTTGTAATGGAGATTTGTGTTGTTGGATGCAGGAGGATATTGGAGGATGGGTGTTTGACGCATAGAGCCTGTCAATTTCGCTTTCAGAGTGTCGCAGTCAGCGGTTTTATGATTCGTGAGCGCTCGCGATTCGTAGAATCGTTGATTGTGACTGCAAGTGGATTTGGCGGGTTTTGTGTGTCGGACGCTTGCTTTTTGGCCTCTTTTTGTGTCTAACATGTGCAGAGTTTCATTATAGCGTCTAATGGTTTTGAGATTCCTGGTTGCGTGAAATATATTTGTGAGAATATCTTTTTGAGATTTTAGTAGTCACGTTTTGTTTGTAGTTTATATTTTATTTCTTTCATGTAATTATCGTAAATAATAGTTATTCAATAATAGATATTTTATCCATATATTCGTACTTTGATGCGAAGCGCTCTGGATTATGAGATGCTCGATGACCCTGGAGGGATCGATTTTGCTTACTGAGCAGAAAATCATGGATTTAACCCCAAGCTCTTCCACAGCACAATAAATCGCCACCATCATTTGTATATTTGATATTGAACATTAACCTCGGAAACTATTTGCATATCGGGCGAAAATGTAGTCCTGTATTTTTGCGAAGCGTTATGGTTCTGAGATGCTCGATGACCCTGGAGGGATCGTTTTTGCTTACTGAGCAGAAAATCATGGGTTTAATCCCAAGCTCTCCGTCATGACTCTTAAAATTCATGATCACTAAACAAAATGAATATGTTCTTTCGATAGCCGGCTATCGAGAGATTAAATAAACAGCAAATAAACAATACATACTTTTGGTTGCATCGCCAACTTGAGGTGAATCCTAACCGAATACCCTTCCCAACCCTTCAACTCCGTAGCACTTATGAGGGTGTCGCTAAGTCGGTGGCCTCTCGTTAAGTAAGTACTACATCAACATTTCCTTCCCTATCCCTAGTTATGGTAAAGATGGGCGTGGCCGGGAACAGCGACAGTCATGCTTCTGTTACTCTTGTTTAGATTGGAACCAATGTTTACTCCCCAGCATTATTCCTGAAAGTAGTCAACTGAGAATTCCAGAAGAGACGTGAGTGTCGCTAGTATCCAATCTACGAAGTATATCATAACAACGCTAACGCTAACGCTATCCAATTTTTGACATAAAGGATGAGACGTAAACAAACATGTCATGTAATATAAAGTGCTTCGAGACTGAAAAGTTCCAAAGTATGTCCGATTGAACTGAATTTTGCGTCTACTATGACTCAAATTTATGTCAAGATTGACGCTCGTATGTGTCACTCTCAGAGCACCTAAATTTACATCAATTTTTCTAAGTGTGTGAATATTATTCATGGTGTATTTTCATAACACGAAAATACGCTGTGTTCATGAAATCATGAGTCATTTTTCTCATTTCGGAGATCGGATTTTTCCAGTGTATAGACTGGCAGGTAAGCCGTAAATTACAGCACTCACACTATCATAGCATGCTGCCTATCTTAACTGCAGGCAGAAGATGCCTAGGTGCGCTAGTGTTCGCCAATGAAAAGTGGAGCCACTTTCAGATCTGAAATTATATATCTGTTTGGTTGTGGGCTCTCTCATACAATATAAGGTACAGTGCGGTGAAGAAATTCATACGAATATTGAACAAGCCGTTTACCGAACTACGTCTCAGAGTAGGCGCACTACTGGGCAACCTGGAGGGGCTACGCGGACTACAGAGAGTGTTCGGAAAAACTCAAAAACTCAAATCTCATGCATGAGTTTATGCGCCTTTGAGTTTTGCCTTGCAAAATTCAACATCGCAAAAATCACCGATGAGTTTTCAGGTTCAAAAATTCATTGCTTTGTATTTTGGCGATATTCATTGTTATTACTATTGTTTGTGCATCAGGGGTTGGAAAACTAGCACAACATGTATAGGCATGATATCAATTGACGTTTGAGTGGTTTTTATGAGTTTAAAGCTGGAATGATTTTTCAGCGTTGTGAGTGTGAGTGCGTGAATATGCATGAGAATCTCAAGCGTGAATTTTGTTTGCCGCATTCGCACCCGAATTGATTCACGCAGGGAGGCTCAATTAATGAGATTTGAGAATGATTTTCCGAACACTGCTACAGACACTTCTGGTCTACTCGCGCTTGTGATATAAAGTTAAGGATGGCCGTTCCTTAAGCATCGCAGAACCCTTCAGCTCATCACCATCCATGTCACCTTTTTGTCGCGGCCATGCACGCCTTATTCAGCAATCGGCCGTTAAGCATGGGTCTGCCCAGTGGGTTTCACTGCAAGTGTAATACAGATTTACTTGAATGCTCGATCACATGGTGCAAATTTTAAATATTGTATTGAACCTTTGTAACAGAACGGTTACACGCTCGACCTCTTCTTAAACGATGCAGGCAGCTAAATCCGGTTGGGTCATCCTGAACATTGTTACGCTCAAATTTGACGCATCGTTTCTGCGTGGGTTTTTAGCAGGAACCATAATCCAATCCTCTGTCTTCTGCCTTGTTGTTGGAAAGCACTTAATTCGAATTCAACGAATTGCGTCCAGTCTTGTGCAGTACTCTCGCTTCCTGGTGTTGAAAGGGTTTACAAACCATTTGCTTACTAATGCCGATGTTGCTCCAAAAATTACGATCCGAAAAATTATTATGCAAATCCAAGCCTGCTTCGAAAAGATATCAGGCGTAACATTTGACAACGGCACAAAAGCTTTTGTAAACAAAAGTTGTAAGGCCCGTTACACGCGAACCGAAGAACGCCCACGTAAACCAACAACATCATCGGATGGGGGAAAATTTTCCCTTTCCGATAATGTTATTGGTTTGCGTGGGCGTACGTCAGTTCACGTGTAAAGGGCCTTATAACTTTTGTTTACAAAAACTTTTGTGCCGTTATCAAATGTTACGCCTGAAAT